TCAAACTGTTCTTTTTGGTAAACCAAAAGACCAATCTTACAGTTATTAAATTTAACTTTCTCTAGTTTTTTAATTTTTAGAATTTCTAGTATTTAAGAGATAAATTTAAAAGTTATGAAAATTTCAAATTAACATATTTAAACAAATATTGATATATAAAAACTTAACATCTGGAATATATAAATTAGGGGAAATGACATTGTAGCCCTACAATGTATTGCACATTTGCCCGTTCAATCCCTTATATTATTTTCATGCCTTTGAAGGGAACACAATTTGTTTTGTCGGGTCGATTATGTCATTCTATATGAACTGAAGGGGTTAGCCGGCGACTTCCTCATCTAAAATGATGGCCAGTTGAACAATTAATTAGTCTTTGCAACGACTTCCTTCTTTAATCCTCCTTCGTTCTTCTTCGGTTTCTTCATCTTCTTCAGTTTCTTCATCCCCTTCATTTTTTTTCTCATCCTCATTCCTCCCTTCATTCTCTCAGTTTCTTCTTCTTCTTCTTCTTCTTCTTCTTCTTCTTCGTTTCCTTTGTTTTTCTTCTTTTGCTGCATCCGAACAAGCAAAATATGGTGAGGTACGATTGTGGAAGCATGGAAATCATAAGGACTTCCACCACTAAGAAGAATCCCGGTAGGGAATACTATGCTTGCCCGAATATGACACTCCGTTCTCAAGAAACATTTGGGATTTTTTTTAATTCTAACCAAATTTTGCTAATTGATGATATTAAAATCCGCAAGTACCTAGGAGTGAGTTTCTTTTGTGGGTTGATGAGGCTGGAAATCATATGCATGCTGTTGAAGTCCAGAATCAAAGCTCGAGGGAAATGGTGATCCAAAATTGGAGCCTGAAGATCCGCTTGAAGGAGGTGGCAAGCTAAAATCAGAAGCTGAAGATTTGGTTAATGCTTAGTTGGGTTTTGTTTTTTGGCATAATTGTTCACAAGCTGTAATTTGATGTATGTTAGAACTGAATTTGTTATGGATTTTTTTTTTGGCAAAATCAGAAGTGATAAGTTGATACAATTGGAATGGAGCAACACTTTTAGATATATTATCGATTTCTTTGTCATATTTGTCCCAAAAAATAGGTCAGAACTTCCTCTTCTTTCTTGGGGATTAAGAATTATTGGCTTCTTCTATTTTACTGGCTTCTTCTATCTTAGAACCTTGGAATTCTGTCATGTTGACTTTTACATTCTCAATTTGACACCGAAATGGCAGAATGTTGCGTAACAGGGACTAAAACCGGCTACTAAAGGTAAAAGACCTACAAAGACAGACCACTAATAATTTTGTTCCTTTAAAAGGCACGAAAATAACATAAGAGACTTAATGAGCAAATATACAAAACATCGTTAGGCTACAATGTCATTTTCCCTATAAATTAATGTCAAAAAAACGAACTTGCAACATTTTTCTAATTCATATGATTAATAATTTTTTTTTATCATGCCTACGGTTATATATTAATTACTTATAATTATAAAGTTTAGATAATGGCATGATGTACATTAGTATAATTTGATATCTTTAATAATTAATATTTAATATAAAGATAATTTATATATCAATAAAAATATTATTTTGGCAAATAAATAAACTTGTTAAGAGGATACATATAAATTTGTTACATAAATTAACCTTTTAAAATAAATATTTTGTTTTAAGATAAAGATAATATTAAACTTTTCAGATAAACTAGTAAACTACTATGCAACATAAGAAAGATCGCTTCCTAGGGGACACGAAACCCTTTGTTCGTGACCCTCATCTTCGCCCTCGCCGGCCACCGGGGAACTATCACAGCTACTTTCAAAGATGGATTTCCGCCACCACATCCCCGGCGGATCTCCTTCCTCCTCTTCCACCACTTCTTCCTCCTCCCAAAACCCCAGCCACCGGAACGGTAACCAGCACCACCAGAACCACAACGGCAGCACCGCCATAACCACCACCAACGACAACAGCACCAACAACAACAACAACAACGATCCAATGCACTCATGGTGGGAATCCATCTCCAAAGCCCGATCTCGCATCCACCTCTTATCCACACTTTTACCCGTACCCGAGCCTGACTCTGAAGATCCAAACCCGATCTCATCTCTCGCCGATTCCGATGCCCCCGCACGCTCTCTCCTCTCTTCTCTCACTGCATACACCGCCGTATCTTCTTCGCTCACATCCTCTCCTGACTCCGGCTCCGGCGAGGATTCCCTTTGTAATTGGCTGTACGATACCTTCCTCTCTTCCGATCCAGACCTCCGCCTTGTCGTCCTCGCCTTCATCCCTCTCATCGCCGGTCTTTACCTTTCTCGCATTCACTCTCTCTCCTCCTTAACTCCGTCGCTTGCCGGATTTGAAGCCGTACTTCTCGCTTTATACTCATCGGAGACCAAATCTCGCGCCGGGAAACCAATAATGATTTCGATCCCCGATCTCTCTCAGCCGTCGCTTTACCATTCTCCTAGGGTTAGCAACAGCAAAAAGAAACCGAATTCGGCTAAAGTGAACCCTAATTCTGGATCGCAGCCTTCGCGGCCTACAGTCGGAATCCTATCTCCTCCTCTAGAGCCCCAAACCGCTATAAAGTCAACGAAACGTGCTACCATTGTTGGAGTTGCACTCGATTGTTACTACAAGCAGATCTCTCAAATGCCTAGCTGGTCGAAGCTCGATTTCTGCAAGTTCGCTGCTGATTGGGCTGGACAGGATTGCGCTTGCAAGTCCGAATTCGACCAATCCTCTGAAATTACAAACTTTACCGATGGTATCGTTGAAGATGGAATCGACATTGAAGGGAATGTTGTTGAAGAGATGAAGAATTTGGAGATTCAGGATGGGGATTCAGACAAAGTCGTTGCTAGAGGGACAAGAATTCTTCTTCCATGGGAGCTTCTACAACCAATTCTAAGGATCTTGGGCCACTGTTTACTCGGTCCATTGAATTCAAACGACGTGAAAGATACAGCATCTACAGCAGTTCGATGTTTGTATGCTAGAGCTTCACATGATTTAGTTCCTCAAGCGATTTTGGCTACTCGAAGCTTAATCCAACTGGATAAGAGAGCTCGCGAAGCTGCTGCCATGGCTGCCGCATCAACTGCTAATACACCAGGTTCTAATGCTAATACACCCAGTAAAGCCAAGAAACCCGAAATTCTCTTAGTATCAAAATGAAAGCAGAGTATGTTTCTTCTATCTCAATATCGGGAAAAAAAAATCCATTTTGTTATCTTGATAATATAGTGTTTGATCTTGTTGTAGGGGTAGGGCTCTACAATGTGTAATTGGTAATTACTATATCTATAATCTGTCAACTTAAACTTGTAGATGCAAGAACTCAATTGTGTAATTTAATTTTTTGTTTGTTATGAGATTGCATTCGGTTTTATTTAATTCTTTCAAGTTGGAAGGTGTTTGCTCTTATGAATGTATTTATTTTAGTTTAGTATAGACTTAGATATGACAATGCTTTGCTTTGTGATCACAATATTTGTTGATAAAGATCCATGGTCCACATTTGTAATTTTATGCCCCATAAAATAAAATTTTATTTTAAATAGTGCATCCAACTTATATTTCATGTTCAAAAATACGAAACTTAAAAATGTAGAATTCTTTATATTAAAGCCCGAACATGACATGACACCCTACAATGGTATTGTACTGTGTTTGACGTGTATTGAACTGACTACGCGTATTATTGGACTAAGACTGAGAATGATGTATAACAGTTATAGATTTTTGTCCCGTCAATGACTCTGTCTAACATTGTTAGACAGTGTTTTGCCAACTTGTACCGTTGACGTCTTTATTGAAAATGGTAGCAGTTGGTGGATTCTCGTTGGATAAACTTTTCATCGGTTATTTTAGCACCTTCTATTAACCCAAAGAAATTCTATTTACATTCATAAGCAATGTCACTTCAAAGAACTTCTACTCTAACAACTACGATCTTTGTTCGCGGATTATTTGGTTTGTTTGTGTGATTGTGGATTCAACGCGTTGATTTAGACACGGTGTTATTTTTACTTAATGGGATATGACTTTGTAAATAAGAATATAAGATGTATATGAGTGATTTTCTGTTAACTTAATGCATAAATAACGACTTAATAAAAAAAAATTAAGAAAATAAAGTATTTCTTTTTAGTAACGAGTTTTTACATTTTTGTCTAGTTTATTATTTCATTTCCGAAAGTTATGGATTTTTTCTTTCAAAATTAGTTATTAGAGTAAATTACAACTTTTGCTCCCGTAGTCATTTTCTACATTGAACAAGTATAAACAAATTAAATGCTAATACATATTTTTCTTCAATAAATATGTGTTATTTAAATCGTTAAATATTTTAATAACGGGAAAATGACACATACGACATATGAACTTTCTAGTGTTTATCCCTTTAGTCACTTAACTTTTTTAGTGGCTTTATAAGGGAACAAACCTTATTTTGTCGGGTCAATTACGTCATTATGTCATTTGTGAAGAGGTCAGCCGGTCATATTTATGCCACCTGTGTTACTTAAACCACTTGGCTTGCTGACTGTGTATGCCATGTCATTTAATAAAAGCTTTATTTAAACGAGATCTTTTCCCGTCTACTGTTCACCACTTCCATCTCTTTCGATAAACCCTTACTTTCTTTCGTTACCTCAAACCTCAAACGTGGATCTCGTATTCATCCAAGTTGGTATGCATTTCCAAGGAATCTTCGCAAAATACCCCATACGCTACACCGGAGGGATTACTCAGAGGTTGGCGGACATCGATTTCGCAGGCATGGACAAGAACGGGTGTTATGAGTTTATCGAAAGGTTCACTGAAGAAAAGTGTGAGAAGCTCTATTACTGCCAACCAGATATTCATTTTCCCAAAGGTTTGACCTTAATTTCCAATGAGATGGATTATGCCGATTTTATAGCAATAGCTTATGAATGTGGTGTTATACTCCCAATGTATGTAGACCATTTTGGTAATAGTAACATGCATGAATGGTTGGAAGAACACAAAGAAGAGATTGTTGATAACATAGTGGAAGAAGTGATTAATGGTGCAGGACAAATTAAGGAAATTGAGACAGGCCATTTGGATGAGGATGAGGATGAAAATGAAGATGAGGATGATGATAAGGATGAGGATGACCATAGGGCCGAGGATGTGGATGCTGATGAAGATGAGGATGACCATACCAACCCTCATTTTTTCAAAAAGGATAATGGACCTGATGTCGACATGGGTGAGAATGCAGCTTTGGGTGACCCTTTGGAAGAAGCCATGGATGACGATGAAGACGTTTATCCTCAGCTGCCCAATATTTTCAATGAAAAGCTGCACTGGAAGGAGCAGGAACCTGTGTTAGGTATGAGGTTTGAGAGTCCTAAACAACTGAAACAAATGCTTTGTAACTATGATATTGCAAATGGTAATCAATTATGTTTTGTGAAAAATGAAAGTAGACGGTTGCTAGCCAAACGTTGTGATGGAAAATGTATATTTAGGGTTTAGGGTTCATGGATGAGTGATGATAAGTCTTTCCAAATCAAGTCTCTTATTAGTGACCATAATTGTTCAAAGAATTTCAAATTCGGATCAATTGTCATGTTTAGATGGATAGGTACCCACTTTACCCAACAACTTTTTTTTAACAAGCAGAAGATGAGTGTGAGATTACTTAGAGAGGAGGTGAAAACCACTTTTGTCATTGTTGTAAGTATGAGTCAGTGTAGGAGAGCCAAGAAGTATGCATTGAGTCTAACTGAAGGCACAGTTGCAAAAAATTATGCTAGAATATGGTCTTACGGTGAGGAGATTAAAAGATCAAATCATGGATCCAATGTTAAAATTTCTATGGATACAATGCATGGTGGTAAGAATTACTTCAGCAAGATTTACATATGCTTTGCTGCAGTCAAAGAGGGGTGGAGTGGAGGGTGTAAAAGGATCATTAACCTGGATGGTTGTTTCTTGAAAAGTTTTTGCCAAGGTGAGTTGCTTTGTGCTGTTGGTAGGGATGCTAACAATGTAATATTCCTAATTGCTTGGGAAATTGTATGTGTGGAAAACAAGGAGAATTGGAAATGGTTCATTGAAAATCTTGCAGAAGATTTGCAGTGTTGGAATGAAGGAAGTGGTTTGGTTTTAATTTCTGATCAACACAAGGTATGTTCGTAAAATATTAAACACATTATAATAAATATTTACATTTCTTACTTCACCTATTACTGGTACATATGCAGGGTTTGTTTGAGGCAGTCAAAGAAGTATTCCCAGCTACAGAACATAGGTAGTGTGCTAGGCATATATATGCTAATTTTAGAAAGAAGTTTAGGGGAGCCAAATTTGAAAATTTGTTTTGGAGAGCAAGCAAGGCAACAACTGAAGCACATTTTAACATAGTCATGAAAGATATTGAAAAGTTGAATCCTGAAGCCGCTAAGCATCTTATAGATAGAGATCCAAAGACTTGGTCTCTAGCTTTTTTTAGAGTTCACAATTCATCTTGTGAATTTGTGGAGAATGGCTTTTCATAGAGCTTTAATAGTGTCATTTTGGATGCTAGGAAGAACCTATTATCAGCATGTTAGAGGACATTCATATATATATGTGATGCAAAGGATGGTCACTATGAAACTCACAGGTCAAGGATGGAATCGTTATTCTGTTTGTCCAAACATCAGAACAAGATTGAATATTCTCCAAAATGAGCAAAGGTATACACACTTATTTTTTTATACATGCCTTACCTCTGTCAACTTTAAACATTTGCATTACATTTTGTAGGCATTAGCAGGTTGTGTCTCGTGGGGGTATGAAGTTTGAAACAAGTAAAATGGATTAGTCGTACCTTGTTGATGTCACAAAAAAGAATGTAGTTTCAGGTTATGGCAACTAAATGGGTATGGTTGTGTTCATTCAGTAGCTACATTAGCATTTTTAAACATAACACCTGATGGACCATATGTAGACCCATTGTACCTGGCAGCCTTCTTCCATAATACCTACAAACAGTCTATTAGTGACATGAATGGGATGAACATGTGGCCTTCTACAAACTTTAAACCTCCATTGCCTCCTTTAAAAAGAAAGAATGTCAGGCATGCCAACAATGAAAAGAATAAGGGATGCTTCTGAAAGGTCTAGAAAACACACAGTTTCAAAGGCAGGGAAAAAGGTTTCTTGTGGCATATGCAAAAAGAAAGGGCACAACAAGACCACTTGCACTCAAGTGCCAAGGACTCCTAAAACTAATGTCATAAAGAAACAAAAGATCATGCAAACACAAGAATCAGTGAATATGCAAGGGGGTGGAGAAGATGTTGTTATGGGTGATGTAGTTGATCCATAAACTGATGAAGTTATGAGGGTAAACGAATCCGAGCAAGTGGTGAGGGTTAATGAAGCTGAGCAAGTGGGCAGGGTTAATCAAGTTGAGGAACTGGGCAGGGTTAATCAAGTTGTTGGCCATGTGTATACTACAGGTCAACCAAGTAAGAGGAAAAAGTAGGAGAGAATTCTTAAACTAAAGCTTGCTAAAAGAGTTGAAGGTGAAGGTAGTAGTGTTGGATCGCCAATGGAGTTAGATTAATTACAGTTTTAATTGTGTGTTTGTTATATGGATTGAACAAGGGAATTTATGTTTGTTATGTTCATGTATGTTATACTAATCTAAACATTTGATATTGGATTTGTATGTATTTATAATATGTATGATCTAATTAATATTAGTGTGTACGGGGTAATTTAGTCATTAAAAATATTTCAAGAGGGCATGTGAATGCTAGTTTAGGGGTAATTTAGTCATTCGAATCAGTTAATCCAACAGGTGTATGTTATTTCAAGTAATTATTAAAGTAGGGGTATTTTCGTCAATCAAAGAAGTTAAATTACTTACAGTCTCGTTAGGTGTATTAGTGTCATTTTAATTAGTTAAAGAAATAGGGGTATTTCTGTCATTATTTTTTTATTTGACTAAACCCATCAGGGGTATTACTGTCAATATTTCTTATGTGACATGACCTATTAGGGGTATTTCAACATTAACTTTATTATTTAACTTAACCCATTAGGGGTATTTCATTTCTTCCAGGCAATTATCCAAAGTGGGCAACCAGAAATACAACAAAAAAGCGCTTTTCCATTGTTTTCCATTTCTGGGTTATAGGCAACGACAAATCTGGGTATTAGATTCTTCTCTTTTGTCCCATGTACCACACACAAACATTGGGGTTCATGTTTTAATGGTTTAAAAAGTTTGTCTTTGTCATGTGGTCCCAGGAAGAAAATCAACAAAAAATATGGGTATTACTTCACGACACATGCACATTTACATTTATAACAGGAACATTTTAACTTAACCAACATTTCATTCATGGGTTTCTGCATCTTTACATCTATTAAACATGTTAAAACAGGATTTCCACGTCTATCTAAGTACATACGAGAACCATCACATGTGACTACCATCAAAAAACTGATCATCACAACAACATGATAACAAAACCACCAAGCACGACCACCAAATACTACAACCAGAAACCAAAAGACAACGAACAAAACGTGTTACTAATAAGGAGAATAAACCAGATGCACATCAAAACAAAATAGAAACCCATGATTGAAATGTTGTAACCTAAAGTTCTTCTGTCATTTTAAGAACTTGTAGGTTAACACCCCCACAATAGCAAAGACAAAAACCCCAAGGACCCATTTCAATTTCTTCCACTTGTTTTTTCCCAAAACGATGTTGACATACGAGGCTTGCAGTGAACACAAATGCTTCTTCAAATCAGCAACCATGTTAGATAGATCGAGTTGACCTGCCCTAACATCATCGAATTCATGATTTAGGGCGTCCAACTCTCTAGTGATGTTGCGTCGTAGTTCATGAAGGTCGTTTGCAATCTCTTCCCTCATAAGTGACACCTCCAACTATGTCTGCAGCTGATTGATTGCCATGTCTTCATTTGTGACTCCATTCGAGACATTTTCAGCCATGTGCCGACTTGTAACATCCTGTTTCAAATTGTTCCCGTTTTGAATTGGTGATCAAGGATTAAGTGCTATCAAGCTACGGATACCTGAGGGGTCGGGTTTCGGACCTAGTTGGAGTTGGATAATGTGCCTTGGATTGCTCGGGTATTCAGTTTGAGATTTTGGATCAAAGGGTATTTCAGTAATTTGTCAGCTCATGTCTTATGGGGAGTGGATTTTGGTTTGAGACATTTTTGGCAGTCGAGAATTGATAATAGTGTTGAGTGTCTCGATACCTTTAGAATGGATATATGAATGGTTGGAATCGGAGTTGTATCGAGTGAGTTATAGGCTTCAGAAGAATTAGGGTTTTGGGAAAAGCCCTAGTACATGGGGCGTACCACGATGGTACGCAGGGCGTACCTAAGAGAAAGAACTAGGCGAGGCGTAGCGGGAAAAATGCGTAGCGTATATGCGAGGATTCGATCGGGGTGTGCGGCCTCGTACGCGAGGCGTACGAGAAGGTATGCTGAGTGTACGAGGGTCAAACGGAAAACCCTAAAATTCGGACTTGACACCTATTTAAACATCCTTAAGTCTTTAGGACTAAACCCTAATCCACCTCTAGAGCCTCATTTCATCCCTTTACACTAGAGATACCTTGTGAGAGTGTTTTTGAGCTTAAGGAGTGTATTGTGGCCATTTTAGAGTTCATTCAAGAAGAAGGAAGTGCTAAGCAAGCTTGGAGTGGCATTGGGCTTCAAGAATCTGCATCTAGTTCACCTTGAAGAGCCTCTGGAGGTAAAAAGCTTTGATCTTCCCATCTTATTCATTAGATCTAGCTAGGGTTTTCTATATTGTCCCTTTTAGTTGGTTTTGGACCTTATCTTGAGAGTTGAGCTACTCCAGAGGTTGAAATGGTTAGATCCGAGCCTTATGAGCATGTTAGATGCATAAAGGTGCTAGCTTGAAGAGTATCTAGACTCCATGCGTGAGTTTGAAGCCTTAAATGAAGTCCTAATGAGAAGAATGAAGTTTTTATGTCCCATATAACATGCAAGGGCATAAAGTTGCCAATTTTATGCTCTAGGACGTCTTAATGAGCTCAGATATGAGTTTGGGACGTAAAGTCTTCAAGCATTAAGCACTTAATGGATTTTGTGCATAAGCTGTTTGTACGCTGGGCGTACAATGTAGTACGTTGCGCGTCTTTTGCCCGGTACGCTAAGCGTACAGAAGAGGTACGCTGGGCGTACACTCTCACGAAGACTTGGGCCTTAGCGGACTTTAGACCTTTGGGCCCTAATGGTTTTGGGCCTGGATTTGCTGGTATTTGGGCCTGATTGTACCTTTGGGCCAATATTGGGATAGTTGGGTCTAATGGGCCTTGTGGTCCAATATAGAAATGGACTTCGCATTATGGGCCTCGTTTTGGGCCATGTCTTGGACTAGGTTGTGGGCCTTCGTGGGCTAATTGGGAATAGGGGTATGGACTAAGGAAATTATTGGGCTTTAGGATAAGGTCCATTAGAGAGGATTGGGCCAAATTTGGAAAATTAGGCCATTGGTCGATTAATTGGCCTTTGGGCCTTTCAGATTATAGTCTCGGCCAAAGTATTGGACAAGGATAGGTTACAGGTGAAATGGTCTTTTTACCCCGTGTATGAAGTGATATGTATGGATTAGAACTCAATCTCTAATTGAGTGTCAACTGATATTTGTAGCTCCGGGAGGTGGACAGGGCAACAACTAAGGATTTCTTTCGGGAAGCGTTTGTATTCGAGGCGAGTCTCCTCACCATACCAATGGGTCTAAGGCACCAAGGCAGACCCATTTTGTGATATGTGGTATACTAGTTGTAGTAGAGATATGTGGTATGATATTTAGCTATATGCTAAGTGGTATGCTAGTGATTATATGGTATTTGCATGGAAGACCCCGGGGGGAGCCCATGACAGTCGGATATAAGACCATGTGGGGGAGCCAATGACACATTGGAGTAAGACCCTGGAGGGAGTCCATGACATCCTTATATGTTTATGCATGAGTTATGTAGTATGATTGATATTTCTGTGATATATCATATGCTGGTTGACTATTATGTTATTTGCATGGAAGACCTCGGGAGAGCTAGTGTCAGTTGGATATAAGACCATGTTGGGGGAGCCCGTGGCATTCCTAGGTAAAGACCATGTGGGGGAGCCCATGGCATGTAGTAGAGACCATGGGGGGAGCCCATGGCATGTAGGTATAAGACCTTGGGAGGAGCCCACGACATCCTTATATGTTAGTATGCCTGGCTTATATGGTTTATGTAGCTTTCATATCTAATATGGATTATGTGATTATGTGGTTTGTGTGGGGTATGCTCTAGGGAACTCACTAAGCTTCGTGCTTACGGTTTATAGTTTTGGTTTCAGGTATCATCGAATTGGAAAAGAAGGGCTCTGATTGATTGCAGTGCACACACCTATGATTTCCGCAATAAATGATTTTGGGATGAACTCTGATAAATGTTTTACTTAACGATGTTTTGGAATGTTTGAAATAAATGGTATCAATGTTTTGGCTATATTAAAAATGAAATTTTTACCCTTGATTTTTGGGTCGTTACACGACTGTAGTTCGGTGACCATCTGTGATTTGGAGATGATCGTGAAGGCATCGTTTTTGCGATTGGTATTGAAGTTTAGGGTCCAGTTAGGGTAACCACGTTACGAATTGTGCCATTTTAGGTCACAAGCTTCACATTTTACACGGAGGTGGGGTGAACAGTGTGAACGTGGCCTCTATGTTTCACATTCCGAAATGACGTTGTTTGGGTCCAAGACGTAAATACAATTTTGCCATGTCATCGATGATGTGTCAAATTAGGATGACGTGGCATGGTTACCGGGTATAATAAGTAAAAGAGACTAAATTGCTAGGTTGAAACACACTTCGTTCCCTCATAAAGCCACTAAAAAAGTTAAGTGACTAAAAAGGTAAACCCTAGAAAGTTCATAGGTCGTATGTGTCATTTTCACTTTTAATAACAATTGAATATTATTATTAAAAAGTTATAATTTTCAATTTATACAATTTTTTATTTATGAAAAGTATCATTTCTATTTTTTTTTATCATTTACAAATTAAAAATTTAGGTAAATTAAAAATTCACTATGTTTTTTTTCCCGATTTTGACATTTTTTTTGTTTCAATCAAGACAATGATTTTTCCAATTTATTTCGGTCTTGATCGCTTACTCGGTTGCCAATTGATTTGGCACTCTTTGATGAAATGTCGTGGTGACATGTCACTATTTATTGATATCATATTTTTGGTCTCAAAACTGAAATAAAATAAAATAAAACGTATTGATTTTTGTGATATCCAATATGTAGTGAATTTTGTGATATCCAAAATATAATGATTTTTATGCAATTTAGTCTCATTATAAAAATAATAAAAATTTCAACAAAACAAATCATCAAATTACCTTTTAATGTTAGACAATATATGTCGAATAAACTAGGGTCTTCCTATTGTAGTGTGATAATTGTTACAATGTGATAAAAATTATAACTACTCCTCATATACAACCTTTGATGCATCTTGATTTCTCTAACCCAAAAGCTTTTCATGCCGATGTCATTGTCTTTAAAGGATAAAAGGTTGAATACCATTTATTTACTCTCTCTCTCTCTAATGGTTGATTGATTGTAGGAAATAGTTCAGTAGAATCACCCCTAATATTTGCAAATATAGATATATTTATGGAACAACAACACGTTGATGTTGAATAAAGAAAATAGTGAGTTAATTATTTATCCAAACCCAAAATTGTGTGTGAGCTGAAACATGTAAATTCAAAAGATTACCTACAAAAAACCCGGTATGATCTAGGTTTGAAACATGTAAAATACAAAAGAATTAAAGTGAATGATTGAATTAAGAGAAATGATTACAACGATTCTTCAATTCTAGAGATAGACCCTCATTTGAACCAAAGTTCTAAGGTACATTATTAAAATACCCTCGGTTAGGTATCTTATTATAGAAAGACAACCAAAGTCAAATTAACCCCATAAGGAAACCATTACTAAGGGTTCTTTCTCTTAATGTACTCGAATCGACTTACTAAGGTATATGACAAAAATACCTTTATTGTTTGAATTTTTTTTTATCTACATGCAAAGCAATAAGGGTCAAACTATGGTTCAATCTCATGTAAACCGATAAATTTTTTTGGGTTAGGGAAAAAATATGAATCAAAGGGTTGTATATAGTGATCAAATAATTATTATTATCACACCGTAACAATCAACTTACTAAACTTACAAATGGCCCTAGTCTATATGGTGTGAATGTTGCATAACTATAACATTTGGTTTCGAAATGTTTCTAATTTCAGAATAGCGAGCCATAAATGGATAAAGCAAAGGTTTTTGGCTTCAAGGGAATAGAGTTTAGACCCTATCAGATGTTGAAATTGTTTATTAAGTGATTCAAGCCTTCGATTTATGCTTTGAAGAAAAAGTGTAAAATGGGAAAAGTAATATTCCAGACTTCTTACATGGATTATGGCTTTAGGTCAACATGTATTAAGTAAAAAGCAATTAGATAGAGGTTTTAGGGTGTAGACTGAGTAGGTACTTCTTTATTTCTATTTAGGTGTCTTATAGTACCAGTCTTCACCATGTGATATTTGTTGTGTTTTAGTTGCTACCTGCGAGGTAAGTATTCTCACTATACTTGCCTGTATGGTAGTATATGTTGACCAGCTGGGTCTTACCTGTTGATTATTTATATATGTGAACTGATTTGTTGATAACTCCAGGACTGCTATAAGTCCATGGGACTACTGATAGTCCCCATGGTTGCTGATAAATGTAACACTCCAAAAATCAAAAAAATTTAAAACTTTTTTAAAACAACCATAAACCATCATTGTTTACAAAAGA